AAAAAAAAAGATAAGATTCTTGTCATTAATTATAAAGATATATTGATAGATGCACTTTGCTAACAATTTAAACTCAACATCTATTACAACTGCTACTTTGCTATCAAAAACATTATTACTTGTTACAAATGCTGAACATAAGAACTAGTTTGCTCTTTAATATCAAATGCAAAACTAACTCAGTTATATGACTTGCAACTAACAATAAAATAATATCACTTGAATCCTATCTTACACTGTATTGAATTGGAAATATTAATTTAAAACCCTTATATAAATATCCAAAGAAAGAAATTCGACAAAGTCTAATAAAACTTGTTATATAATTTATAATATGGTTGATGATTGGTTTTTGTTTAGTGGCATATCAACCCGTATGGGTTATTTAATACTAAAATCTAAATATGAAAGTTCAAACCTTATAATTAATTCAAGAGAATACATTATTTCTTGATTAGATTATAATTACTTAGAAGCATTTTTTTTAATCAAATAATCTTACAAAATCAAACAAGGAGTGAAAATTAGTTTCTCCTTACAAGAAATTAGATTAATCATAGCAAATTTTTATTTTTTTACAATATATGCCAGGTCTTCAATTTTACTATAAAAATGTTTTGCTGGTAACTTTACTATAAAAATGTTTTGCTGGTAACTTTACTATAAAAATGTTTTGCTGGTAACTTTACTATAAAAATGTTTTGAAAATCTGGTAGGTATTTTTTACTATAAAAATTTTTTGCTGGTAACTTTACTATAAAAATGTTTTGCTGGTAACTTTACTATAAAAATGTTTTGCTGGTAACTTTACTATATTTTATGAATGAATGAAAAATCACTGTCAGTGCTTAAAAGTGGAATTTTATTATTTAACTGCAAAATTTTGCAATTTTTAAAGAGTTGATTGAGCAATTTTTTAACACCCAATCAATGTTGTGCATTGAAAATCAGGATGAAAGGTATTTTTAGTGATCAACAATTAATACAAGAGTTACTGATTTTATATGTATAATTCCATAAGAGGTTTATTTGTAAAATTTTCAAGAAAAATTCCCTGATTGTTTTGCAAAAGATAACAGAAATATTAATAAGGGATTTGCAATAAAAGATGACTTTCTGTTTATATTACTGCTTTCTACAACCTACAAAGTGGTAATGTAAAGTTCCCAGACTAGGCATAAAAATGTTAGTATATTATTACTCCAGTACAGAACATATGATGATATAGATATATATAAGACATTTACAACATTCCTGTCCACATTCACAATATAAAAAATTACTGATCAACAGCACAACTATCCTACACCAAGAAATTAATAAATTCAAGCTACAGATCCTAGAAGCAATCTATAATTAAAAAATTAAAGCCGACATGAATGATATAATTAACTATGAATACTGCAGTAATATTCTGAACAAAAATGCCTGTAAAAAAACTTTCAGTCTATTTTTTTTTTTTTTCATGCTTTAATGATGCTTTATGGAAATATATTGACATTATAACAGAGGAAGAAAATTCCATAATGGATAATTTTTTCATGTTCTAATGAATACTCATGCACATTGTCATTTGTATTTGCATTTAAAAGCATTATGAAAAATTAGTAATGGATAGCAACACTAAAGCTTTGTGATACATACTTTGTACCCCCTGAACAACATATAGTTTTGTAATATTTGCAAACCCCTGAAGATGGTCTTAATTGAAGAAGATCAAAATTATTTCTTACTGGGGATCTTCTGAAAAAATAAAATTTAAACGCTAAAAAAAGATCTTTAAACTGTTAGCTTTTTAACTAATTTTATAATTTCAAACTTAAATGTAAAATCATTTAATATTAATACACGGACAGTTATTCATCATCAAAAAAAAGTATGAACAGATTATTGTAAAAAATTAGCAGACATAATATCTGTAATTTATTCAATCATACATGCAATTAAAAACAAAAAGAACAATTGCATTCCTAAATACACAAATTTTATACATATAAAATACATATATATATATATATATATATATATATATATATATATATATATATATATATAACACACACATACATAAGTTTCATTGGACAATGATTATTTTTTTTTCATTTTTCTTAAATGCAAAAAAAACTAAAGGCCATGTATGTTGTGTTTTAATCAAAATTTAGAAGTTCTATTCATATGGTCAATGGTGCATTATGGATAGGAGGTGTATTGTATCCTAATGGCTACTGAGTGGGTGGTAACAGTTATGGTTCAAATTATTCTAGAGGTTCTTGAGTAGAAAGATGTTAGTGGATCCAAAAGTAGTTATTTATAGCTATTTTATAGTATTGTTTGTTAGCTTTTTTAGCAGGTGTGGAGACACGAGCCTGTGACATCCAGGCGGATACGGACTCATGATTCTGTGATCAGTGAGCACCTTTTAAATTCTGTTGTTTGCAGGACGAATTATTCTCCTGATTTCTTTTCTGTCTTGAACAGAGCATGGACAAGATTCCATTTAGACATCTTGGAGTCTATCATTATTAACATGCAACGTCCTTCCCTGTGTAGACAACGGGAGATGAAATACAAGTTAGCCCTATTTGGGGAAACAATTGCCTGAAAATTAGTAAAAATACCCCCCCCCCCCAATTGCCTACTCTAGTTGGTAATTTATTCTTAGTTTCAGTTGTTGGTAAAAAAATTTTCTTATCAACTGCTTCGCTTTATATCGCCAATGATTTTGTTTCTGAAAAAGTGTCAGCCGAAAGCATCTTGTGTGGCAATAAAAACCTGCTATATATATCATAAAACATCACACATTGTGTTCTGGAGCTAATAAAACAGTGCTTCATCTATAATAACTGACCTATAATTTATATTAATAATAAATATAAATTTTTTTTCCTCACTGGAAGCACAACACAATCTTCAGGTGGTGATTGAAAACTGACCATTGCATAATTTAAATATTGAGCAATAATTTAAATTATGCAACAGTCATTTTCAATCATCTAATGATTACAATTTGCATGAGTTGTGCTACTGGTCAGGAAAAAAAAAAATGCATATTATTATTTATTTATATATATATATATATATATATATATATATATATATATATATATATATATATATATATGTGTGTGTGTGTGTGTGTGTGTGTGTGTGAAAAATATATTGATTTTAATAATGAATATGCTTATAAAACACGTAAATTTCAGAAATAAGTTATTCCAAAAAAATTTTCGCTTGAAGATGGAAGAGAGCTTAGTACTTTAATTCAATTTAATTCAAATAATTATATTGACGTTTTCGGCTCTTGTTTTGAAACATGAAAACTCTTATGTAGCATGTTGGAATCATATTTTTAAATAAATAATTATATATCACAAAGCCCATAGTACATGTTAAGACCCAACTGTTTTTCATTGAGTATCAAGTGCCAGAGTATCAAGCTTGGCTGCAATGTGATGTATGTTCAAATTTTCTGTGATGTCCTGGTAGACTCTATAACCTATTCTAGCTATGTGAGAAAGCTGATGGATTGTTCAAAAATAGACCTCTGGGCAAAAAATTATGTCTGACCAAAAGAATGTTCCCCCAAAGCCTAATGATGTATTTTGAGTGTCTTGGTAGCAGAATTGCTGAGCTTCATGCAAGATTTGTTGCACAAATTAGCCAACTGTTGTAAAGATTGCAGAGCTGTTCCAATACAATGTTAAAAAAAACCTCACATAATAATTGAACACAAGTAGATTGTCAATCAGCTTTGTGCTAAGTTAGTTGCATACGAATGATCATGAGCTGTACACTGTAAACCACTGTTTAACTATTATAAATACAAATAGAATGAGATAAATCACTAAATAATGATGAATATTTAAAGAAGTTGGTATGGCAAATTTGGAGCATTTTGTGAGGATTGAAATCATTACAGCAATATTCTGAGTTGTTAACCATCACTCCATGGCAAAACACCAAAACCATAATATTAGTTTACATTTATAATTTGTCTATTCTTTTCATCTTTGCTGTTATCACAATATTTCGGATGTTGTGCCCTTCGTCCTTCCTCAGGTGTAGATTGATCTGGATAACCAACAGGGAATTCTGAAGTGAACCATTTATTTAATTTACGGGAGTAGACTGTTCCTGTTCCACTGCTCATGTTTAGGGTCATCATCTAATTCTTATTTTTAGTTAGTACTGTTCAGTTATTGCTTATCCTCACTGCTCGACCCAAGGATTGAACTCACAACCATGTCACCAAATTCACAAACCAATGTTTTTATCCTCTAGGTCATTGTCCCATAGAAATTCAGACAGAAATCATAATAATTAAAACTGCAAACATAGAAAATTTAAAAAAAACAAAAAAAAAAAAAACAGTTATTCAGTAAGCAGCCTATAAATGGCTACCATCTTGAATACCACTGCTTTGCTAAATGTGATCAATAAATGTCAAATCATGTCTAATTAATTTCTATGTATCTAGAGATTTTGGACAATGTTATTGGTTCTGACCTAGCATTTCAGATTCACTTGCTTCCATCACCATAATGTAGGTTCTCTGTGCCTTTTCTATAAATATTTTCATATTGTTCTGATGAGCTTTCCTCTTTGATATCTCAACTTTACAAATTTAAGCAGAGTATTAGATTGGCAGCTAGGTCTCATCGTTTTACAGTTGAAATGACTAGATGTAACCATAACTATGCTGACAGTTTCTTTTCTTGCAATTCTAACTTGGAGAAATTTCTTCCACCTTCTTGCTTTCCAGTCAACTATAATGTTCAAAAATGCAAATGCAATGTCAATCATTAGCTTCTATTTCCTTGAACCCTGTTCTTTTATTATTCTCTCTTCTTAATAATGTTTTACTTTCTCAGGTTCTTTTACTCTGAACAATCCCTAGCATCTTATTGGCTTTATCATGCTTGAGGTGAAATGAACAAAAAACACAAAAAAAAAAAAACACAATAAACATAAGTCTGTACAGAAAAGCAATATCTACCTACCATAGAGAATTTGAATTGTTCCAAGACATCTTCATTTCAAGAGATTAGTTTTGGTTTATACACAAATCTGAAATTTAAAAAAATAAGTTCAAATCAATACAGAATTTATTTGAAATACAGGGTGAGGCAGAGAGGACAGATGTTTCTGAAATGGCTATTACTCAGCCCTAGGGGAAAGGACATATGTCCAATAGGTACCATTTGCTTCATAGTGTCTTAGCATTTTTTTTTCTTTTCAGTTGAAGCTATGGCACTGTGGATGATAGAACATCACATGTTCGCCTACAACAGCTTCATGAAGAATAATGAGTCTACCATAGCAGTTCAGCATAAATTTTGTTGCCAATTCAACATTCACCGAAATCAAGCTGTTGCCACATGTAACATAATCTTACGTTGGGTATATGCACTTCATTCACAAGGTACACTAATGAATAGCAGACTGGGGGGGTTGCAAACAGTATGTACATGTGTCAGACAAGCCTTGCTGAGCAGTCTGAATCACTCCACTCGGAGACATGCTACTGAACTTGGCATTGATAACCGTTCAGTAAGGCGTATTTTGCATAAAGAACTGAATTTCCCCCACCGTACAAATTGGTCATTGGGCAACAGCTGAGACCAGGGGACTATAGACAGTGGTTTAACTTCGCATGTCAGATGGAAGCAATTTTTTAGACAAATGACAACCTCATTTTGTTAATGAGTGATGAAACTTATTTTCATCTCAATGGCATGGTGAATCAACAAAATTGTTGTTATTGGGCTCTTGAAAATCCAAGAGAATTGTATGAAAGACCACTGCACAACCCAAAAGTGACAGTTTGGTGTAATGCCAGAAAAGGTGGCGTCATTACATCGAGATAGTAAACAACTTCTTTGTGCATGAATTATGATGAAAAGGTATTTCTATCCAACATGATGAGGCAACGACCCACACAGCCAGACTATCAATGGACGTTCTTCACCCTCTCTTAGGTGACCACCTCATTTCCAGGTTTGCTGAAACTCCTTGTCCTCTTCAGTACACATATGATTATTTCTTGTGGAGAAAACCTCAAGGGATGTGTGTATGAACCTAAGCCCTGTACATTGGATGATTTGAAGGAAACTATTTACATGGATGTTGCCCAATCAACAGAGCAATGATGGAAAGAGTGGAGGTCAACTTCCAAGAACACTTTCAGAAATGTATCAATGAAAACAGACACCACCTGAGCGATGGATTACTTTTCACATTTGATTTTGTCAAATGCTAATTCAATACGAACACATTGATGTCAATAAAATTTTTTTGAAGCTAAAATTAATGATGCGAATTTTTCAAAAGTTTTCTCTGCCTCAGCCTGTATTAACCTAATCATTTACATTTGTAGAACTAATGCTTTTTTTATCTTGTGTAAAAAATTTGGCCATTAGATAATTTTTTTAAATAAACCTAAATAGACATTTAAGACTTGAAACATGTGCAACTGATATTTCAAAATATTTCTTCATTTTCAAAACATCTGCATAATATTGTCATATTTACGAAAATGAAAACATTTTCTTGTTTATTATAAAACTTTACTTTCAGATCATCTTGGTTGTTATACTGACAATATACTGATTAAGAAATGAAACTCAAACGTTTCACCACCTAAGTACAGGAATTAGGTTTAAGGCTACAAACCAACACCACTAGAGTGAGGAGTTCAATTCCTGGGTCAGGTAGTGTGAAAAAGTCAGTAGAAGAAACAGACAAGTGACACAAAGGTAAACAGATTAGAGAGAATTATTTTATACTAGTTATCTCCCCTAAGCATGGAGAGAATAAGAACAGTCTACTCCTTTGAATTGAATAAAGGGTTCAGTTCAAAATCTATAAAAGGTTACCGAGTGCAACAGACAGCTGAAGAAAGCTGGAGGATACAATGGCCAAAACATTGTGAGTCTAATTGTAAAGGCATGTAATAAAGATTATGTTCATACTCCTCGCTGGTCTTTTGAAGAGGAATAGAGGTTTATCCCTTGTTTCCTGTTCCTTCTAAAGTCTTCTCATTCTCTTTCATTCCCAGTAGCCCCTTGTGCCTTAGTAGCATAATTGCCTTGCTTGGGGTGAATTGATTAAAAAATAAGAAAATTCTCATCTCAAAAATTCCAACAAATTATTTTCTTAACATCAATATATACTTAAATAAATGTTTCTAGTCTAACACCTTAATACTAATTTAGTTTCATGAAAGTGCTACATTCTAAAGCCCAAAGCTTTTAGGATTATTAGCAATAAAGAAGGATTCTTTACATAGAAACAAATGAAGAATGTTATAAAAGCTTTTTAAAGATCTTAAAGTTAATTTATTCTGTATTTCAAAAAATATTGATATTTTTCCTTTCATATTTTACTTCAAATTGTGAGAGAGAAATAAAGATTAACTAATATTATTATTATTAGTGTTATAAATTATAAAAGTTTTATAATTTATAATACAAATAAACTAAACATTAGTTTTAAAACTAATATTATTATATTAGTGTTAAATTATATAAAATTAATTAGTGTTATTATTTAGTGTTAAACTAACCCGCTTACCATGGAACGTATTTCATAACGACTAAGCTTAGTCGTGGGGTAATATTTAGCGATGTTATTCTGAGTAGCGAGTTAGATATTCACTGATTGCCTCATACAAAATTCGACATTTTTAGCGAGAGTTGATGTGTCGTAAAATCAGCCAACAGATTATTAATTACAAAATAGAAAAAAGGGGAAATTAAACACTCACAAAATTTTTTAAAAAATATTATCATTAACATCGAGATTTTTTTTTTTTTAAACCTGGTTAGTTTTATAATATTTTACAAGGTTTTATGAGCTCATTAAAACTGAACCTCGACTGAAAATTTTCTAAAAGGTACAATAAGACAAAAAAAACCAAAGGAAAACAGAAATGTAAATTTTATATTTCTATACATTTAATCTCTGGTCCCAGAAAACCATCAAAGAGTGTAAAAAAAAAAAAAAAAATGTGCTTCTCGAGATTTTATTTTAGGTAAAAAAACGGTAAAAAATAATGATACAATTCTAGTGATTCAATTCTAGTGCAAGATCAAACGAAGTTTTGTGTCCCTGCTATTTGAAGTGGTTTCAGTACCGTAAAAGTTTGTACGAAAACGAAATTTCAGTTAAAACATCTTCATTTAGTACAATTAAGATTTCATTTAAAATCTTCATTATATTACTTAGTACAATTTTTAAAAAATTTAACGCTCAACAAAGTTAATTTGTTTGTTTTCCATATGCGTTACTTGATTTTAAATCAAACCGAACCGTTCTTAAGAAAAAACACTCGTGATGGTGGTCACTATTCATTATCTGTTCATTCATTTTTTTTTGAAGACTGATATTTAATTTAAACCAGTTGATTGAATAAAAAGCAAACATACATTTCTGAATAATAGCTAAAGGTTTCTTTCCTTCTTGTTTTTTAATAAATTAAAGAGGATGACAGAATAAAACAAATTGTTGATTATGTTTTCACATTTCGAAGCATGTAAACAAAACCATCACTAATGAAAACAAAGATATTAATTAATTAATTAATTAAACATTCATCTTATTTTTTCAAAAAAAAAAAATGTTCTTAGCAATCTATGAATGTTTCCACATTTTTGTCATTTTTTATTTTTTTTTTTGCTTCGATCAATTTTTTAATTGATCGAAGCAAAAATAAACAAATATTATTATAAATGTTTTTTTTTTAATACAGAGATATATAAAAAAAAAAGTAAATGACTCTTCTTATGATAAGAATGTGTTTTTAACTTTTAAACCAAGAAATTCAGTTGGAATATAAACTACTATCGACATTATTTTGTAAAAATGACTAAAATAAATAAATAAATAAATAAATGTTTTGTTTGAAGAATAATAGCATATAAAATTTTTTGAGTTTTGAACTTATCACGATTTTCTCAAGATTAAAATTTTAGAAATAATTTGAGTTGACCCTGTATGGCCCAAGGAAGGGAAAAAAAAAGTAACTTTTAAAAAGTAAAAAAACTGATATGAATGGAGAACTGAAGTAATTATTTATTTTAATTTTTTTTTTACTTTATTTTTGGACAATGATAAATAAAATACTTCATCGAATTTTTTTTTTAAATTCCCTCTTCTTCCACAATGAGATTACAATTGAATACCTTATTCAAATTTAACTTTTCCCTTTTCAGGTCTCCTTGAAAAAAAAAAAAAAAGAAAAAAATTCACGACAATGTCGATAAAAATTGAAAAGCATTGTTCATGTTTTCCACAAGAAAAGTGTCTTTGAGTTTGATAGATCACGTGAGAATTTTTTATTAATTAACTGTCAAGAAAACAGAAAATAAATAGCAGAGTATGCTATTTCTAAAAAAAAAAAAAGTTTTATTTTACTTATTTGTTGATATCACAGTCTATAAAAGTAATTGGTTGCCCTTAAACAAAATAAATAAAAAATCTTTAAGCCTTGCCTTTACGAGTTAACCATGAACCATTATGCCCCTCAAGACTAGCATCACAAATTAAATAAAGAAATAAAATAATATACACTAGTTTGTCAGAGAAATAAACAAATTTGCTAAAGAAAACAAAAATTATCAACAATTCTCATAATTAAAAGTTAAAACTAAGCGCGAATGAGTGTGTTTTTTTGTTTTTTTTGTGTGTGTGACAGTACAAATAATTATGATCAGAAAAGAAAAGATGCTATAAAATTTATAACTTTTTCTCTTAAAGTCTTAAGGAGCTAAAAGTTTAAAAACAGAATATTGATTTTCCTGAGAATGGAAGTTTTGTTTAATAATGAAAAATGTTTTTTAGTTTAACAAGCACCTGGTAAAACAACAAAAAACATCAAAACTCAAAAGCTATCGTTTGCTTTCTTGCTTTGTGTTTGGACTTTTTTTACACTTTATAACTGTTAGTGTTACTGTTGTTAAATTTATTATATATATATATATATATATATATATATATATATATA